GGACTGGCCTAAGGAGTATTTTAATTTGGTTTTAAAATAATTTTAAAAAGAAACGGCCAATAATTAATATTTCATTTTAATTACATTTTAAATTTAGTATTTTGTATTGTTATCTGTTTTAACTGGCTGTAAGCCGCCCTGAGTCCGCTAGGAGAAGGGCGGGGTACAAATTTGATAAATAAATAAATAAATAAATAAACTGCAGGGACTTGTCTAGGTCATTGCTAGTGATCAAGACTTGACTCTAAGGCACCAAAATGAAAGAAAAAAATAAAATAATTAAATGTAGAGTGCATAAAACCATGTCAACAGTTCTTTACAAAAGTAAAACTCTTGCCAATCAGGCTATGATCCAGTTTCTTCCACAAGTTATGTTTCTAAAGTATCGAAGAATTCTGTGTCTTTCCCAAAATTACCCCACATTTTCTTACATCCTCAAGAGATATGAAAGAAATAGCCATTTGTCCAGAATGATACAGGGTCTCCTGCTTGGGCAGGGAGTTGGACTAGAAGACCTCCAAGGTCTCTTCCAACTCTGTTATTCCCACCAAGAACAAATGCTGTGAAACTGCCAACAGACCAGAATGTGAATCATTGTGGTTGGGTCAGTCACACAGTTGGAGAATGTGAAATGGCCTACTCTTGGCAGATTGTCAGAATGAAATCAGCAAGGAAACTTTTGCTTTCACTTCTGTTTTCTTTTAAATCAGCCTCCTTAGAGTTTCTCTGATGCAGAATTGAGGAAGTTCTTTGAGTTGAGGTTTCTTCGGGATTCCTTTGAACTATGCAAATTAATACAAAAGATGAAGAGTTATTATTGTAATAAATGTAATAAATTACATTGCTAAATGTAAGTAATTAACTCAAGATTCGGTAGGCTTCTGTCAAATGTACTTATGTTTCTGAGTATTATGGTTCAATGGCCAAAATTTACATTGCTTTTGGAAAAGTTTTGATATCTAAATAATAAAGTATTGACGTTTTTCTTTGTTAAATTCTGTGGAATTTCGTAATCACTGTATCCCGGATGTTCCTGAAATTGATGTTGAAATATCCCCAAACACTGTTTTGTCTATAGCAAGTTTAAGGGGTTTTATAAATTTATACTTAATAGTGGTAATAGATATCATGCTATACTATTGTAAAAAAAATATTTCTCATAGTTGCAGAGATGTACTCTAAAGAAATGGCACATGTACCTTCATTCAGATGTTTATCTTGCCTTTGTTTTTTGTTAGCTCAAGGTAGTGTACATATATAAGTTCCCTACCTTCTCTTTTCCCCACAATCACCATCTTGGGAAATGGTTGGGGCTGAGAGAGAATGCCAGGTCCTTATGCAGTACAAAATATATGAAGATATTGCTTTTCATATTTAAGTCATAGTTTTGGAATAATGTACAGCGGCATTCCTAATATTTCTAATAGCATGCCAGTTTAATGAACAATATATGCTGGTTAGCCTGCTGCATATATGTGTATAATTTGAAGAATAACTGTGTGTGAAGGTAACAGTACATTGTCAAAATCTCTGCTCTCTGAAGTCTTAAGATCAGTTTGTGTTCTTGCTGGGTTCCAGAAAATACATCTGGTTTTCTTCTCTGCTTATATATTTTATACAAAATCTTTGTCCCCAAGTTTCTTTGAATTACAGTGTAAACATATCCCAAGAAATATAACATGGGGAGAACCGATGGCTTCTGCATTCCGTCCTTGCTGTAAGCATCTTCCATAAATTGGCAGACTTAGCTATTCTGCCTAGGAAGGTAAATTGCAGACCCAATGGAAGAGTGTGTTTCCATGGCAATGCTGTCTTCTGCTGCACAGTTAGATCTGCATACAAATCTGGAAATACGTTTTTCTTTGTGGTCAGCTTGTGTTACAGCCTAGTATATTGTTGGATTTTCCCTGCCAGAAATATGGACAACGTTCAGGGCATCAAAATAACACCTGCATTATTGCAGCTAAATGAGAAGAGCAAAATGTGGTGAGGCATAGATTATTCAGAAAGCTTGAAAGAACCTAAGACTTTGTGTAGGAACCCAAATTCAGAAAACAACCTCCACTCCCAGTATGTGCAGGGATCCAGAATGGCAAAATGCGAATTTGAGTTTGCTTTATAGATCTGAAATGCTAGGTGCTGGGGGTGAGGGTGGGGTGAGAAAATAGAAAATTAGATGGGAGAATGGAATGTACATGTGGGTGGGGTGGGGTCTTCTGAATATGTGTTTCTTTGCAAAGTTTGAAATTCTGTTATGCCTTCTGATTTCTCTCTAATATGAGCAAATGTGATTTTGATTGCACATCAGTCAGGAAAAGAGTTCCCTGTTAACATACAGAATTGCCCTTATATTGCTTTAAGCCAGAAAACTGGCTGTCTTTCAGTGCTACTAAGAGCTGAATAATCTGTGCCTCCTCACCTTATTCATACTCTGTTCTTCTTATTCATTATTTAGCTATTCTCAAACAAGACTGTTCTGTACTACTGTATTTTGTGTCCCAATTGTGCATTCTGTTCTAAAATATGGAGTTCATAAAAAAATCATATTGAGGTCTGCAGTATGGATCTGAAACTGATGTGATAAAGGCAAGGTATGAGTAGTTAAAGGATTCCTTATTTATTCCTTAAAACCCAGAAAGTACGGTATGCCATTTGTATAATACTCTGCCAATACACACTGTCCATTGAACTCTGGTTCTGAAATGCAAGACTTGTGAGGTAGCCGTTGTCCTTCATATCTTAATGGTCTGAGATGACTAGAAGGGGATTAATTCTGTAACAGGGATTCTTGTGATAAGGTTTGGGTATTTGTACTGCTGGATAATCAAAATGTCTGTATCTATTGGGAGATTAATCATACTTGTGAAAAGGCAGTATAGTAGCCAGTTTGGATTCCAAACAACTGCTTACACAATACAGTTTTTTTTTTAAAAAAACACATGTTATTTTATTGAGGAATGGGATACATATGTTAAAAAAATCAGAATTCTGAATTTGAACAAGGTATGTAAAAGAGACACTGCCAATTAATGCCCTGTATTCCTAGTGCAGTTTCAAAGATTCCCCCTTTTTTTTTTTTTTT